TAGCACAGCATGTCACAAAGTGCATGTGGAGGTCAGAAGACAACTTGTGGAAGTCAATTCCCTGCTTCCACCAGTTCTGGATGTTGAACTTGAGTCATCAGGCTTGTTTGGTGGCAGCTGCCCTTCCACACTGAGCCACTGCATTGGCCTGAGAGTGGTCCTTTTTCTTTTGACCATAGACATTTTCTGGGGATCAGAAGCATGGAGCACAATAATGAGTGTGGCAAATGGTGACTACACTCCTTGGCCATTTTTGCTGAACCCATGGCTTTGATGATTTTCCAGGTCTATAGTCTCATCTTAAAGAGTCTTTTCATGGCAAGTATCTTTAAATTCTAGAATCCTCTTTATGGTCTTAAGGTGTCCATCAGGAAAAAGTGGTTGTTTACTGTAGAGATCACTGGCTGGTGGCTCAGTTCATGGTAAATGCTTCATACACCACTGAGGTCATGTATACTAGTTGCTAAAGTGTGAATGCTTGTTAGCACAAATACCTCATTTAATGGAAGCTCCTTTCAAATCATGACAGTAGATTGCCTGGACTCCTGTGAGTTCAGGCTGTTCTCATTTTAATTCACAAATTAATTTCTTTAATTAAGGACTTCATTAATAGGAAATAAGAAGAGCCACAACAGTTTGAATGAAACACACACACACATTTATTAGTGAACAAAGGCACATCAATAACCACCTTACAATTTACTTGTACAATTAACACAGATACAGTTCTCTCTTAACTGCCGAGTTTTCTGATAACAGTTTTTCAACTCTTTAGGTCATGAAACCCAAAGGCAAAGCCTCCACCCAAACTTATTCTAGACCACCCTATTATTGAGAGCTAAACTGATCCTCAATGGAGGGATCAGCATCTTTTATGATCATACAGTCTTTGCAAATGTGCTGACTGCAGATGCTCCTCAGGCTCCTTCCATGTTCCCTCAAGTCCAGCTGTTCATGAATAGACCATCTGCTTTAGCAGCTGCTGCTTCCACCATTTATCTGCTGTTTCCCTATGAGTTTTTTCAACAAACTTTCTTCTTGCATGTCTACAAGAAGGCAGTGTATTACATTACTTACAAGGAAATGCATCCAATCCTATCACTTTTCCATGTGTGTCTGCTTTGATTTGGGCTAGACAAACTGCCCTGTGCTCTGTTTCCATGCACAACACAATAATTCCGGGGTACTCTGTTTTTCTTATGCTGATTTCTGAATCTCCATAAGGAGGAACTTGCTTAAGGATGAGAATCTGATTTGTGTACCTATCACAAACCAATGTTTTTCTTATGCTGATTTCTGAATCTCCATGAGGAGGAACTTGCTTAAGGATGAGAATCTGATTTGTGTACCTATCACAAACCTTACCCGATGTCCCGGTGGCTGTCCTGTCTACCTGAAGGACACTGCTTGGAGCTCTTGACTTTATTCCCCAGATACACACTGTCCTCCTGCCTATGGAGGAGGTAGGGAATATGATAGCAGGTAGGGAATCCAACCTTCCATCTGGCACTTGTCATTGTCATAGACAGGTGCTTTATTCTGCCAGCTTCTGACCCACTCTCTTCAACTCAGTTTTCTATGAGTCCAACTATGGAAAGGTCATCAAGGCAGGAGTTCTAGATCATAGTTTGAGACTTTGAACACTGGCAGAATAAAGATTTACCAAATTACATTTGTTTTCTTAACAAACAGAAATGACTGTGCTTGCTTTCCTATGCCACTTGTTGAAGATAACCTGTTTTAAGGGCCCCAAAACATTTTAGTGGAAAATCCATGCATCTCACTGTCATAAAACCACTGATGCCCATCTTGACAAGAATGAAATGAGCAACACTGGTTTCCTGTGTTACACTGAAAGTGCAGTGTGGAAAGGAATAACTGCAACATACAAATTTCTGATTTATTTTGGAACTATACTTCAGGGTTGAAGAGGTATAATAGAAACGATGATATTAAATTTTTTGTTTTCTTTTACGGAAATGTATGTGTCTTTCTCATGTTTCTCATTGCATCTAACACAGTGAATGTACTATCTATTTCAAAATACTGAAGGTATTTGGAAATAAATTTACCCTTTGTAAATTTAGTCTTTACTCTTGAGTCACATGACAACTTAAAATTTACATTAGAGTTATTAATACCAGGCTTGCTCTACTAGAGCATGAATAGCTTTGCAGTGAACTACTGTGTGAATACGGACTCATAAAACAGACATAACCAAGGAATTTGCACACTTTATTAAAAGAACAAAAAATAAACATGAAAGTAGCATATTAAAATGGGTTACACAAAGCACACTTATAAACACAAACAGGCACTACAACACTATAACTTTAAAAACGGTCAAAGCATCTGCAGTTGGGGGAATGAATTCTTGCACTTGGGGAAAATATTATTTGAATGGGTTTTATCCAAATAATATTTTTGGTAATTACTTAAATGTTTGATTGTTACAGAAGGGTAATAATTATCTTATTTTAATGCATTCTTAAATTGCTATTTTCTTTTCAAAACAAATGCTTTCCTTTTGTACAGTCCATATTCTTGTCAGATGAATACATAAAATCATCCCTTAGAAAACTACACATATAGGAGTAACCTAGCTTATCATGTTAAGCAAAATAAGCCAGGCTCAGAAATCAACTATCCCATGCTTTTTCTAATATATGGCACTGATATTCAAGGAATGAGACTGGAAAGTAGGAGGAGGACTTGGAAAGAGGAAGGGGAGCAACAATGAAAGGGAGGTAGAGAAGGCGATGGGGATACAGTCAAAATACTTGCTACACATTTATAAAAATGTCCTAATGAAGTCCATTATATTATAAAGTCGGGATATACTAATAAAAGAAAGTCCTAATTTATAGCTGGATATGGTGTTGCAAAACTTTAGTGCTAGCTACTCGGGAGGCTGAGATGAGAGGATCAGATCATCGAAGGCCATAAATTTTAGACTACTAGTTTGGGCAACATAGTGTGACATACCCCCTTCTAAAACTGAACTCAATTTAAATTACTGTAATTTGGGAGCATGGGAGCAAATGGCTCAGTTTCTAATGATTAAAGTAACAACTGTAATAATAAAATGAGTCTTATTTTGGAAAGGTTTTCCTTAAAATCTTAGGAAATGATGGTCATATCTTTCCCTCAACTGCAAGACACACAAGACACAGCAACAGAGCAATTTGGTTTTCGACATTAACAAACGGCAACTGTATATAGAAATAAAGCTTTCAAACCGTGCAGTTCTATGATGGAGTCCTAAGGTTGTGTGTTTGGGGAAAAAGCCCACTAAATAGCTGGATTACTTTTACACCTTGTTACAGAGGTATTTTTAAAAGAAAAATGATACAGAAGATGGCTAGTGAGGATTTTTGCAGCATCTAAAGAGAGCAGCAAGTTAATTTACAACGATACCCTTCTAATTTTAGGTATAAGTGAGGATGGATTCTATACTAACACAAAATTTCTCTGAGATAAACCAGTTTTTGAATGTCAGTGAGTAATTCACTTATAGGCAAGGACAGTAAGAGGGTCTGGAATTTATGAATTAGTCAAATTCATAATAGGGGTCATTTGGGGCTTTAGTTATATGGATTGGTTGTATTAAATTCTCCGTTTCCTTACTGATTTAAACAAAACCACTGTGTTTTGTCAGCATGTGGCCAGGTGCCTTGTAAGCATGTGCACTTTGTCATCGATTCACTGGATATCTTTCATGATGCTTCAAGGGTCACCCTTACTCATCTACAGTTCTTCTGCACTTAAAATCTTATCTCAGGCTGGGGATGCAGTTCAGTGACTGAACACTTGCTTAGCATGCACAAAAGTCCTGGGCTCTGTTTCCATCACCACACACGAAGTTTCATCTCTCTTATTGACCTTGTGAAAATATATTTTTATGACTTACAGATTCACAAGGGAAAGGCCACATAAAGACACTGATTAAATAGTGAAATTATGTTAGTTATAAGGCTGAAGTGGGCATTCTTAACTATAAAATAAATGTATGTTTACATTTTATATCAGCTGAAATGGCTTAGATTGTCAGACTGTATGTTCTTGTATGGCTGACTCTAAGTGATCATGAGCTGAAAGAAAATTAAAGAAATTCCCAGCCAACTGGCCCTGAGCTATGGGATATGTATAAGGCTTGAATTGCTTTCTGGCTTTGGTTTACTTTTCAGTTTTTCTCTCACTCTCTTTTTCCCATTTGCTGTACTGGGGATGAAACTCAGGGCCTTGTTCTTCTAGGAGAGTAGTCTACCACTGAGCTACAGTTGCAGACCTATTTTTATGTCTCCATGAGAGTTAGCAATGTGGGTAGTACTGCCTCCTAACCAACTACCCTAGTTCTAGGATGGGGTCCTTCTCCAAGGCAAGAGTCACCTGCATCAAGACTAGAAGCACTTAAAATTGCCATGGTGATCCATCCCTTAACCTTTCAAACTTCCACTTGCTAAGCCTCATTGTTTTGAGGGCAACAAGGAAGTTCCATGCCTATCTGCAAGTGTGGCGTGAACCTAACTAGCAGAGATGCTCAGATTGACATCCCCTTCCAGCTTTGATGTTATGTAAGATTTTGGCTGGAATCTCATCTGGTTAATTCAAACAAAACATTGGGAGGCTGAAGTGGCACAGTGAAGGACTTTGTAATTTGGTAAAGGGAGGTCAGCCACCACTGAACAAGTATACTGTAAAGTCATTTCTAAAGTCATGCCTGGAGCATGTTGTCTTAGACTGGCTACAGTTAATAGGAAAATGACACCTTTTAATTTTTGCCACCTTGTTTTGCATTTAAAAGGAGGAAGAGAGGTCAACATTAGCAATTTGATTGTCACTGAAATTCACACACACACACACACACACACACACACACACACACACACGTTGCTGGAGAGATGGCTTGGCGGTTACGAGCACTGACTGCTCTGATAAAGTCCAATTTAATATGATTTTAGATTGACTATCTTGTAATTTACAGGATTTTACCGCTTGCAATTAGTGAAAAAAGAAAACCTCTGTCAGAAACCCATCTGGTATGTTGTGTATGTATGTTTACAGTGGAATCAATGCTTTAAAAGTAATCTTTGCTATTGGCCTTGCTAAAGAAGTGCTTTCTACTCTTGCTCAGTGTTGATACAGTTGATCTGGCATCTGTTCGCAGTCTTCCCTTTCAATGAGCTGCAGCAAACTAAAAAGCCTCCACAGCAACAGTATAACCTTCTGCTTTTGTTAAGTCTTATATTAAAAACAATTACCCTTCATCTCAAAGCCTCAGAAATCACTCTCCCTAACTACTACAAAAAGCTCCAAGGATTGCTTTCATGGACTATGTACATAAGTGCAAAAAAAGTGTGTCTCACACATTCGCACCCTAACTGAGACAATCAGGTAACTGCAGCATATGTCTCTTAAACACTGTTCAGGGGCTATTCTATAGTATTGTTATGTATGGTTTCACAAATATGAGTTCATTTCAAACTGTTTAGTTATGTTTTAATCCTCACATATATTTGGGTATGTATTTCCAAAAATAGAATTTTTTACAGCTATATATATATCACCAAATGAACACATAATTTTGAATAAAGTTATTTTAAAAAGGTTAGGCAACATATATGTAATGCTTGCTCTGATGTCAAAATACTGTAGAATAATCCGATCAACACAACAAATTCTATAAATCACAAAGTGTGACTCTAGAATCCATGTGTTCTAAATTTTTGACCAAAAAGTTACATAAGGGCACAGATTCAGCTTTCACATGGAACTTATGGTTCCAAAATCATCTGTTTTCTGAGTTTTGAGCTGTTCTTCTACATGCCTGTACTGTCACAGACCACATGTAGCTGACAAATTCTTCTAAAGGTAGCCATGTTGTAGTTTTTTGCCAAAGCAACAGCTAAATATAATTCGCTGACAAATTTTTGTGTGTATAAAGTTAAATTTGTTTTTAAACTGTGAACTAAAAAGTATAGCTACGGCCTATAATCTGTATTATGTTAGGCTACAGTGCCAGTTTAGACTCTTCCTAGGTGCTCTGAATATATGCAGCAAAAACTTACAATTTCTCTAACTCTCCTTCAAAATTAAACATATGAAAAGTAATAAAATAAAAACCTTACAAACTAACAATAAGAAAAAATGAAAACATGGCACCAATTAGTGAGCTGGTGCTCAGAAACGCCATTTGTAGTTATACTTACAGTGTGATTAGGCTATCTACTAAACCTGCAAAAAATGTTATACTCTTTTACATGCTATTTATTCTATTATCTTTGAGAGGCACTGGTAAAATTAGGCTATTGTCTTATGAACTCTTTCAATCAGAAACAGGAAATTAAATTTCCTTTGATTTCAATGTAAGTGAAATGTACAAAAGATTTTAAAGAGAGAGAGAACTGTGGCTTCTAATAATTTTGCAAGCCACAGCCAGTGTCCTATATACTAAAAGTCCTCAGAAAACTTGGGCTGCATTTTACCTAGGAGCATACTCATCATCACTCTCCAAAGAGGATAAAAAGAATCAAGTAACCATCCAAGTAGCATATGAGCTGTCTCACTCATTTCAAGTGATGCCAAGTAAATGCTGTTCTGTCTTCAGACACCATTATGTTTACTGGTCATGCCTATAAAAGGTAATTCAAGTTCAAAACACTAATTACATTTGGTTCTCTATAGCAGAGATGGGGTAATGTTCCCCAAATTGGAGAGCAAGTAAATAGAAGGCTCCCATTAATGGACACAGCTTGGTGGTGTAGGACAATACTTATGGCAAGACGAAGTGCTTTATCATGTTCAGAAAAAGATGAGTACAGCTGATAGAATAGGGAGAAGATGGCTGTTGTGACTAGTTGCAAATTAAAGATTAATCTAGAAAAGAGAAATTAAATGTAACAGCAGGTTGTGTGATCATGCTCCAACTGCAGAAGTAACTACTGTATTTAAGTAACAAATTTATGACTCCATTTATTTTAATTGAATTTTAGTCCCTATTTCAGATATACCTGTTATGGTCGAATAGTGCTTTTTGTACAAATTGAAACTACTAAAAGCTTCTTAAAAGATAACTTTTAGATTGCTCCTCTGTATTCATGGCATGTTTTATCCAAATTTCAGCAATCTTGGAAAATTTTGAAAAAGGCTGAGAAAATGAACAAAACTAATAATTTTGGATAAATAAAAGCAGAGGCCATTATAAAATACAAAGATTATAAAATGTTAACTAGGAATCACAAGTGATTTTTATTTATTTAGAATTTTTATTTACAAATGATTCAGTAAATTTTCATTTAGAGTCACTGATCAGTTTTGTGACTTTTTTTAACTCTCAATTTATAGTCAAATGACTTATCCATCAATCTTGTCTTTTCTTCAATAAGAAACTAAGTGATTGCACAAGTCATCTAAAGAGTGCTATCTTCGAATTGCATTTCCCTCAAAACTCTGTTGAATTTGGTTAAAATGTTAGGGCTTTGAACTTGCTTTCTTTCAATTTGTTTATATGGAACTTTTAAAATGCCAACAATATGTTATAGAAACTTGTGGCAGCAAAAATACAATGACCCTGAATATCCCTCACTGAATGTCTTCAAAATAAAATCATTAATGTCTCCCAGTGCTTATGAGAACAGCTGTACTCTAGGTTTAGTATCTATGCACATATTGTCGAAAATTTAAAAGCTAAATGAGATAGTATGTTGCATCAAAATGTCAATCTACTCAATCTACAAAAGGCTCATTTTGCACAAAACATTGCCATATCCATTAAGGATTTTATCTAGACTAGCTCAGGTACATCCTTCCTGTATTATGATTTTAGGAAACAAAATATAAGTGGTTCAAAGAGCCCACAGGTAAAAGAACAACTCTCAATCTCTAACTTCAGGCAAAAGTTAACAAAAGACAGTGACCCAATATAAATAAGACTGTCAGGATTTGCCTCGATAATGATAATTAAGATCAACAAGATACCAATCACCAAAGGTAATTTTGCCTTTTGTACTCTGAGACCATCTGATCTGCTTTGAGATGCAGTCTCAAATGTTCCAAAGCAAGATGTAAAAAAGAGGAACAACTGGATCCCACAATGGTTGGGCAGCCTTAGGCAAGTCACATGCCTTGGCTCTTCATTTTATCAACTGTGAAATAATCTTTGCCCGCTCCACTGTTCTCCAAATCCAGCCTATAGGTTAAGGTATCCTAAAGATTTTCTCTTTCCTTATTATTTTCATGAAGAAGAAACACAAGATTTATACATATATAAATTTTGTTGGTTTTATACTTTCCAGTGGGAGAATATATATGTAGTAAATATTAAATCTATTTAAATTGTTGGAAAATATCATGTTTTCTCCCTTTTATAATAACAGCAATGTTAATAACTGAGTGAACTAGAACAGGTATGCTATATATTTCAAAGAGATAGATTGATTACTATTTTACATTTTTAAGATTATATCCTAAGTGTTAGTTGTAAGAATCAGCTCACTTCTGTGGGATATTGCTATTCTATATTAGCCACATGGTGCTAAAACCTATTATAATTCCAAAGCACATATAAAAGCAAATAAATTCAAATGAGCAAAAAAACCAGGCTTGGTTATGAGATTTTAAAACTCTGATATTAAAGTCTGGGCAGGGAAGCACTTGCCATGTGACACGAATGCTGGCTACTTTATCAAAGCAATTATACAATTTGAAACTCAGCTAAACTGAGGTGAAGAACGACAACTATGGAAATCTTTCCTGGTTGTTTTGCATAAATCAAAAATTAATTTTAAAGGTCTCCCTGCCACCCATTCCTGCCCTTTCTCTAGGCCTGTACTCAGGCTCCCTCTCTGATCAATAGAAAAGATTGTCCATTTGGGGAGGAAAGGCCTCATTTTGAAACAATTCTCTTTCACCTGGACTGACTTTTGCTTGACTGCATCTTACTTATTATTCAATGAATAGATAGTCTAAAGAACACGAACCATTTGCATTTGGAAAACGGCACTTGTGCAAAAGGTTACAATGCAAAGGTTTTACATACTTTCTGCAAGTATATAAAAACTATCTCCACACCCCCATCTCTCTGTTTGATTTATAACCTGCAATTACCATATCTTTAAGCTACCAAGTACCAGTTTCACAGCTGAAGATGACAATGGCTAAATTTTGAGACATTCAATCTGGGAGATAGGATTCTTGTGACACAATAAATGTAATGGCTACTTTATATAATTTTTACAAATGCTAAGAAATTTTTTAAGAATGTGAATGCATATTTCTCAAGTTATATAAGAGGCGTTATTAGAAGTTCACGTTTGAAGATGTTCCTTAACTTGTGTAGGTAATCACTTTAATCTTATAAGAATTTAGTACACTACTGAATACATGAGGACCTGCAGGCAGTTATATACATGCATGTTTATGAACAGGCTTTGTGCACACTCAGAAGTGAGGCCTTGTAAATATATGCCTCAAGAAACTTACAGAAATGTTTTAAAGAGTGCACATTAACATGAACCTGTCACATTTTTCAAGCACGTACATTTCTGTTCCCCACTAATGACATTTTAATTGAAATCAAACACCACACATATACAGCAAAACACTGCTGTATATAAAAACTAAACACAACCCAAATCTAACATAATACACTAATGGAGAAAATGGTATTGGATATAGTTATGTTCTGAATCAAACCAATAGACTCTTGTAAACAAAATATCAAGGTAACACTTCAAAACCAAACATTTATCAAAACAAGAATGTATAGTAAGCCTACAGTACACTGTGAATATTGTTTAGGATAATCGTTATTGGGAGGAAAAAGCACAAAATTTTATGGTTATATTCAATCTGTCAATTCACATCAGATGGATGATTTAAATAATATGGATCTGGTGATTCATATAAATGACAAAGGTATATGGTTGTATTCTACATGATAATGCACATAAGCTCAGAAATTTATATATGGTAATACAGAGTTATTAATTTTCTATTTGCTTTAACATTTCTATTTGCTTTAGCATTCCATTGAATGCTTTGGTTTAATTTGAATTTTTTTCTGGTATATGCGCTCTAATATATGGACTGCACCATGCTTATTGTTGTGTTAGTAGAAGAGGACATACGAGAATATATATAGAAAGGCCATATAGAGGTTCTTGTTGAGAGATTCTGATACTCCGTAACTCTGCTGTTCAGAATTTCAACTGAAATGAAAAACAAAACAAGAGAATCAGTAAAAAACATTGAAGTGTTATTGAACTAGGGATCAGGACACTAGTTCTTACTACGCATCCATAAATGAACTAACCCAAGATACTTTCCACTCTAAATTTCAGATCTCATAGCTGTCAAAATGGGGCTCAGAAAATGATCACTAAGCAGTCAAATTAGCTATAATAATCAATGGGAAGTGGATGAAGGGCTAATGTGAAGAACTGCCCTATGCAACAGAGATGCCCCCCAGTGTTTAAGGTATCATCTACATAACACCAAAACTTTTACTCATCAACCAATCATCAGTTCACCTCCTTCAATAAGCATGTATAGAAAAAAAGTGCTTGATACAAAATAGTTTGAAAACGCCAATATTAACAAATTTTACAATTTTATTTGACTTTCTTACAGCCTTGAAGAAATATCCCAAGTGGGTTATACAACATATTCCAAGTGACATTTTTGATCTTTGGAAAAAAATTCAACACCTGTTACATGTCAAAGTGATTTTGTCTGCCAAGTGCCATATTTTCTAGTGGAATCAAGCAGAAGAAAACATTCCTCCAAACATAATTTACATAAATATTAATTACATTTCATGAATTGTGTTTACCTCGATGTGTAATAGCCTATGAGGACTGAAAAACTTCTGGAAAAACCTACATTCTCATGTCTAGGGCTTTCCCCAAGTTGCCACTACCCCAAATAACACCCATGAAAACAACTGTAACTTATAGTTCCCTTCAGTTCTTCCACATACTCAAAGATGTTTTTTAAGAGCATTCCTTATAACTGAGGGGGCCTGTTTATCTACTCTAGAATTAGATATAAGCTTTGTCTCAAACAGTATTAGGGCCCTACGTGTCCTCAGCAGCAGAGAAGGATGCCCTGGGAGCTAGGGGTTATTCTAGCAGTGAGCATACCTGCTGTTTCCTTTAACCAATGACACACTGCAGGTGGAGACCGTCAAACTTTCTACAGCTGACAATGCAATACAGACTTGATTCACTTGTTAAGTTTCTACAATTAAGATACCTAGGATTTTTTTTTCTTTTTAGTTAATTAATTAATTAATTTTTGAGGCAGGATCTCCCTGTAGCCCTGGTTGGCCTGGAACTTGCTATGTAGAGGGGGCTGGCTTCAGAGGAGGCTGGCCTCGAACTCACAGAAATCCACCTGCCTCTGCCTCTCAAGTGCTGAGATTAAAGGAGTGAGCCATCCCCATGCCCAGGGATACCTGCAACTCTTAAGTGGCATCAAAAGACATGTTCCCAGTGAAAAACTGCTTGAAATAAATGTGTGCTACTATGGCCTCTGGATCAGGCAAAATGGAAGTTAGGGGAGAAGGAGGAAAAAAATCCAAGAATAACAGTTTTTTAAAAAAGAATGAAAATAATAATTAGATTACAAAAATTATGTTGTATGTCATGCACAATTCTGCTTGACTCACATAGGAGGCAACACCATTCAGCAGACTGAAGAAGCACTGCTTTCTGTCTTCAAGATAATCATGCCAGTGACAGCCTGACAGAATTACTGCTATAGTTCAAAAAAACTGAAGCTACAAAAATGTTAGAGAATTAAAATACAAAATCATTTGTGCTTTTGGCTAAGAAACCCAGGCTTTTTGAAAAGAGGAAAACATTACGGAGTGTATAAGCTCACTGGGAAAATACAGGAGCAGTTGTCTTCACATCAGAAAATCACCTCTTCCCTCTCATATTTAAATGTGGAAAATTTAGAAAATTTAGAATGTACAATCAAATACTTAAGTTATAGGCAATGTCTATAATTGGAAATATTTACCAAAACCTTATCAAACATAATTGTGTAAATAAAAGAACAGCCTTCTATGAATATTATCTATGTTAATACTTAAAGAAACTTACTGTTCTACTGGTAACTTCTACATCTGTGAAACAAACATGCTCCTAGTCAGTTCATCTATTGATAATTGGGGTATCTATAGTAGTAAAAAAGATTTTAGATTAAAACGGTTTCTTGAGAGAATTCGTTTTACCTTGTTCACTAATTGGGCATGGTATGTCAATAACGATGATCAATTTTGCACAAAAATTTAAGCATATTAAGCATTTCCACTAAGTGTCAATTTTGCAGAGCACAGATTAGAATGTGGTTTGTTTCCCCATTGAATGGATGCTTGGTGTGTTTCATGTTTATCATACTGGAATTTAAACTGGAGTGGAACTCGCAGTCTGTAAGCAAGGTCTGCACTTTAATAAGGTAGAACATATTAAATGTATTGAATGTACTACCTTACAATTTCAAGACTTTCTAAAAACTGATAATTTGCCTGTGACTCTGCCTGAAAATACTCAAAACGAAAGTCAAAACACAAGCACATTTAATGTCTGTATGAGAAAATAATTTCTGATGTAGTCACTGGATAATGATAAAGATATCTATTCCTTAGAAAGAAATGTGATATCTTGCTTTCTTTCCAGTGGAATTGAAAGCAAAAGTGATGGTTTACTAGGTCAAATTCAAACACGATAACCCGAAAGATGGCAGGAAAATAAGTTCTACTCATGACTAATGAGAAAGAATTTAGGAAATATTCATTACAGCATATACATTTGAGGATTGGTGTGGTAGCAATCATTTGATATAGAATAGCACAAATGAGATCTGGCTACCAATTAAAATGAGTAAAATGCTACTAATTAACCTTGAGATGAACTGCAAATTATATACAGCACTCTAAATATACATAAAAACAAAACTTCCAAAGAAGAAACACACAAGCATATGAATCAAGAATTTCCACCAATCCAAAAAGCATATGTTGTGTTTGATCAACATGTAGTTATCAAGGTTTGAACAGGTGAAATAAATGGCCAAACCTGATTGCCTGTAGTTGTTGCAACGTAGGGAACGCTGGTGGCAGGTGTTGTTGCTGGAGACACAGTGGAAGGTGTCGCACCACCGTGCATCATGGGCACTTTCAGTAGGAAATCATGGAAGCAACACACAGGAGGGTGGAGCAATTACAAAACCATGACAGATACGATGGAATGGGGCGTAGTAGATATCCCAGCAACAAGCCATGTAACATCATCATGATGGACACATCAGGGTGCAACATGCAATCAGAGTCAGTGCAAAGCAGCATAGCATGGAAGGGAGGAAAATTTAAAAAGAAAAAGGGGAAAGCCAATTATAGTTACCATTAAGGAAAACAGAACCATCTTTAACATTTTGTTAAATTTTTGAGCAAAATAACACTCTAGTTGATTCAAAAGGCCAGATTTTCAGAAGGGCTCTTTGTGAATGCATAGGAAAAAAAATCTGGTGTTATCAGGATTATCTAGCTAAAGCTAGTTAAACAGACAAGTCACTGTATTGCATATTCACAATGAATCAGGGAATTGTGAACTGGTGTTTGGGTTCACTGATGAGTGTTGCACTAGATTTCCTGGTATGTGTGTGTGGCAGTTTTATATGTACTTACACAGTCTGCCTATCAAGATGATGCGTCTGTTGGTGAGTATGTGGTAGAGGGGCAGATATGAAGAGCATGTTTCCCTACGTATGCAGCTTTTTAAAAAAATTTTGCAATTTTCATGCAATATAGGTTGATGGTATTCAAGCCCCCTCCCCACAAGTCCTGTGCAACTTTTGAACTACACCTTTGGCAAGTTCCTTTGAAACTTAGACTATCATCAAGTACATGAATACTTCATAGTAAATCTTGTCTTCACAGCAAATATCAGAGCTATAATGGCTAACAGCTGCAATATCTCTTTCATGTTTTTCTTTGCCTTGCTAGCTTCTATTTCACTTGAAAGCTTTTGGATGCTTTTCTAATTTCCAGCTTATTTTGGAAAGCCAATCAGGGAATTAATGTGTGAATCGCAATGTGTGAATGAGAAGCATACATATATAATAATGTATCATGTCTACATCAATTGAATTCAGATTTTCTGAAAGTCTACTGAGAAAATGAATGGTCAGGAGGAGAAATCAACAAATGCAATGCCAAAGAAACCAAAAATGTCCTCCCAATAGGGATTAACACAAACTCCAGAGCTGTTCCTTCTATCCATCTCTGATTACTTATTTCCCACAGCCACCCTTTATTGTCTCACATGCCGATTCCAGCTACATTCGTGTTTCTCCCTTTGGAAGTGCAGCAACTGTGCAGAAAGCAGCAGTGCCAAAGCATGCAAGTGCATTCCTAAGCAGAGCTCTGAAAGGGAAAGGACAAAAGCATCCCCAAGACAACAGCTCACAAAATATGAACACAGAGACACAGTCCTCAAACTTGCATAAGTCTGTTCTACTAATATTCATACAATGTTCCTGTTAGTATCAGTGGAAATGCTGTTAATTCCTATAGGGGACAGCTAATCTTTCAGTAACAGGCCTCATCCCTACTGCCAGAGTTCAGATCTTGCTGTGTTTGTGTTGCTTCTATGTGGTAGTCATTTTGACCTTTCATTTTTATCTCAATAAGCCTGCTAGTGCCTTTTGGTCTCATAACTACTCTAGTCCACTAATGGGATGGAGGTCAAGCTGTTGCAAATTCTCTACAGGATGAAAGGAACTGGGTTGACAGGAGATGCTGATATGGGATCTGTCCCCCCTACATTAAACAAAGCTATTTTCTCCCGGTCTGATGCTGGTATCCATGAATACTCTAGGAACTGTGAATTCCTCAGTGGCTTTCTCATCCTCTTTAATATTAGTTATCTATCAAATGGTTTAGAGCTGGCTTCCATGTTATGCTGGTGGATAACTAAAGGCTTTGTGTGTAACTGATTGTTACACTTGATCATAGGCAAACAGGTTAAGAAACAATGTAACTTGTTTAAAAAATCACTTAATTCTGCCAAATCACTCTTGAAATGAATCTGCTGTGCCTAGTTTCTAGGCAGATGCTGCTCCATTCCAAAACACTATAGAATACAGTAGGATGCTCTAGCTTTTTTACATCTCCTTTCTTAACATCTGTTTATTGAATGCCTTGGAATATAGGATAACTTTGGGGACGGCTAGCAGTATCAGTGAAGTTTTCATATTTTACATTTGAAGTATTTTTAATATAATAAGAGTTAAAAGTAAAATTGCCCAGTTTCACCATGGAATGAAACATTGAAAAATATTTCAGTTGATATTTTTGGGATAAAAACAGAGGAATGGCAAGGTGGCCACAGTAACAACCTAGTAGGACTTCAGAAAGTAGGTCTATTTTTGATTCCACAAAGACATGGAACACAAATATCATGTTAAATCTTAAATATTCAGAAAATGACCATTCACATCATTGGGCCACTCATGTCTTTTGTAGTTATAGCAGAAACACATTTTCAGATAAGAAAAAGTTGAGAATTTTTGTACAAAACCTACCAAAAGTTGAAGCGGGTGCCATGCACAGTATTGGCCCTGTACACCATGCAGAAAAGCGTGGAAAGTAAAGAAAAGAGAGATTTCATTATTAAGGCTTTATAGATAGAAGTGATTTTAACTAGAAAGATATTTTTGCAATATCAATTAATCAGCACATGCAAACCAGTAATCTCCCATGCTTATAATTACAGATTAGCTTTAAGATCCCAGACCCAGGTAATTAAAGTAATTCTTAGATTCTTAGGTTTAAAACAAAAGACTTTGAATCTGAAGAATAGGGTATGAATATATTGCAAAAGATTTTCCAGTAAGGGGGAGTCTCAGCTACATCAGTTTTAAATTTTATTATTAATTGTATGAAGAGGAGTTTGGGGCAAGTTTTTCTTGCAAATTTACATGTTGTCATTTTGAGAGCTACTCACTACCTAGCTAGTCCAGGCTGGCCTTGAACTCCAGAGGACCATCTTGACTCAGCTTCTTGAGTTCTAGGATTATAAGCATGTACCACCATGCCCAACTAAAGATAGATTTTATACTGGCCAAATTTAGCAAAACAGAAGTCTAACTTCTGAATAGAATACAGTAACTATAATATTGGAGACAACCAGACTGAACAATTTAAATTTTTCCACATTCAACCATTCTGGCTAGACCTTCTGGGCTACCCAGTTCTATAACTACAAGAAAAACTGAAAGTAGCTCAAGCGGAGTGATGTAATGTTTACATAAATTGCCATAATGTTTGAAGAAAGAAAAGCTAGAAATAAAGTCAATTCAACCCATCCTGATTTTGTCTTTTACTTTGTGGAATGAAAAATATATATATATATATCCTTAGGTTTGGGAGAAAGGTCTAAATCATTAGACATGAGTAGTTCCTTTTTATAAGTGATATAAATGTGTGCCAAAGAACTCCATTTTACCTCCTCAGAAACTATTCCATAAATGTGTACCATCTGTGTAATTTATATGGTATTCTGCAAAACTATTGTAATCAATAACCAAAGGCCATTATTTTTGATAGCTCCCTTTAAAATTACCTGAGTAGTTCATTAAATATTTTCCTTAAGTCTGAGTATACAATACTGTGTTTAGCATTCTTAAGAAATTTAAAAGTCTTTTAAGATTAACTTTTAAAGCAAATGTTGCCTTCATATAGTAAAGGCTTTATACTTTTTTTAAAAAGAACGTTTTTGTGGCAGTACAGGTGATTAAACCCAGGGCTTTGAACATGCTGAGACAAGTTCTCTATCACCAAGCACGCTCCAGCTCCTTACCTTCATTTAATTACAGTTTCCAAACCTGGGTGTTTAGCATTCTGACAAAAGTTTTTCCTATATTCTCAATATTTAGTACATTAAATTTATTTCTGGAGCATTATATACCCATTTGTAACATACTGAACCATTGGAAACTAGTTTCCCTATATATATTTATTTGAACAAAACTGGATTTAAATTTGGTGCAAAACTGTTAATTATATTACTTGAAGAGGTAACATAAAACATCTTGCACAATATGAGAAAATAAAGTGACATATTTTATATTAATTGTTTCAAGAATTAGAAGCCCAAACTGCCTGTTTTACATATACTATACTATATCACACTATATTTACCATAAATTTAAGTGTGCTTTATTATAATCACTAGTTGGAATACCATAGTTACATGGACTACAGACTTTGCAGTATTGAAACTGGAAAATTTTTCTAACAGGTGACTGTTGTCTGTGAAATAATACATAAGAGTCAAGGAATTAGTGGAGATTAAACCATGTAAATCAACCATAAGAAGCAAAAAAATAAGAAATGCTGAAAAGAAAAACATTAATAATTTTTCCAAGTTTTATTTCAAGCCATTCATTTTCAGAACCATATAGGTTGCTTGCGATCCTACCAGAGCAAGTCTAATTGCCTCATTTTATCTCTAATCAAAGTAAATATGGGCAATCCCCCACAAAAGCCCTTTTGCAGTATTTATATTCACTGTGTTAAACTCACAGTGCCCAGAGTTGTACTCTCACCTGTAGGGATATATGACGGCTGCGGGAGCTGCACGTTAGCCAGAGTATGTTGGCAATGGAAAACATTGGGATTAAAGACTGGGGTGGCACCATTGTTCTTTTCAAGGGCCGATCTCTTTGGTATCAGTTGAAGTGCACCAGGCTGTATGGGCTGTGGAGAAAGGATGAATTAATCACTAATATCAGAAAAAAGGATAAATGTACTCAAACCAAGAAAGGACAAGTTTTGAAAGGTTCAGCCTGGGAATCCATCAGGATATCCAATGAACAAGACCTTCAATAAGGAGTAGCTACCCATCGAGACAACCAACTACAGAGGTTAGCTGTTTCAATGTATAAAGTTAGTCCAAAACAGAAAACAGACATACAAAGGGAAAAAACCCTGTTAACTTCACTAATTTAAACCACATTATCACCCATAATTAACATTTAAGCTATGTTCATCTAGTAAACAACACAAATAAGATAAACAGAAGCAACAGGTATAGCAGGAAAGAGATTTCTGCCAGTTAAAATTCCAACACAGATCTAAGAGACAAATGGTATATGCTTGATGAAACATACATTGGTAATCTGATACTGTAGTCTCATAAAACATTTTATTTAGACAAAGACCTCGGGTTAAAATCCTACACTTGTATATTTATCAACTCATCTGTAAGGAGAAAGCAAATGGATCATTCCTCTCCTACCACCCATCACACTGAAGTATCAGCTACACTTAAGTAAAATGTATGCAGTTTTCACTTTTAAAGGCTCTATGTAGCATCTGCTTCATTAAACATCTGTAAGATTTAATTTTTTAACTTACCAGAATTTTTAAATCCTTCTTTCATGTTTACTGCCCTTTCAGAACCTCTGTGCATTTACTTCTCAAAGTTACCCCTAGATAAGATTCTTTGAAACAGTTTTATATTAATTCACATATTTTCCCTCAGCAAAGTACACATTATTTAACAAGTCTCAGCAACACTGAGGTCTGATCCAAATTCTTAAGGAGACAGGAACACTTCTGCTGGGTAACTACACTTCCACATGCCAAAAAGAGTTAGTCATGCTTTGACCTCCTTATTCCTGTGGAATAATAAAAGCTTAAACCTATCTCTGTTCTCTTTGGAGAACTCTACCTTTGATGCATACATTATTTTTACCTCCTAAATAACTCATACAAAAATAAACCAAGCAGCTTTAGAGATATACAATTTCCAACTTTCTCTGAGATGTCCAGATGGCAAAGTTCATGATCTTCAACCTTAAAATGCAATTTATCGTTTGAAGTAATTTTTTTCACCATTGAGAGAAATGGATTCACAGATAATTTTAACAGAGCAGGGCAGGAGGCTCCTTATTTGAATATTTTAGATTTCTCTTTGAGTAGGCATTGTGGCTCACACCTTTAATCCCAGCACATGGGAGTCAAGGCAAGCGGATCTCACAGAGATTGAGGCCAGTCTGTTCTCTCTCTATATATATATATCACGTTCCAGGCCACCTGGGTCTACAGGGAGATCATGCATGAGGTCTGGTGTGTGTGTGGGGGGCATGGGTGGAGGAGGGGGGTCTAAATTTGATTAAGAACTGTTGTAGGAAATACACAAAAACTCAATAAAAAAATTTAAAAAAACCCAGAAACAATAACAAAAGATTTCCCTTTGTTGGAGGGTGTCCCTAATCTCGAAATTGGAGAAAGGCCCAGAGGGACATTCAACTGGTAGATCTTGTAGGGCAATGCTATTTGTTTACTACTGGGATCTATCTTCTTAAGTTTCTGTCCATTTCTGATTGGGTGGTACTTGTACTATTACTAAATATTACTCTTATCAATACTAGCCAGGCCTCAACAGCCTCATCAAAAACTTACTAAGTTGCCAAAAAGGTAAGAGACTACAGATGAAATAAATAAACCCTCCAAAACATTTTGTGGGAGAAAAGAAGTTTGAGACAGAGTCTCATTCTGTAACCTGGGTTGACCTTAAACTCATGGTAACCCTTATGCTTCAGCCTCCCAAGTACTGGCATTACAGGCATAAGCCACCAAGCCCAGCTTACATCTTTTCAAAAATTTTAACACATATAATTCTCTTTCAGCAAAGTCAGCCTGAGCTATGCACATGAGCAAGGGAAAACCACTCTTTTACAGAGAATTTCTATTCCAAATGCCACTATAAAAGATGTAAGAGCTTCTCGATATAGTTTTACCTCATACTACTTTCTCTGGGTCAGTCTAACATTACCACTGAGACCCTGATGCGATCAGTTAGTTAGAAAAGAACTTTATCTTGACATTCACAAGTGCCAGTAAAGGACATGCTACATAATATTTAGTTGTCTAGATCGAAATAATTTGAAGACAATATGGAACACACATATTTTACCAAACACACCCAAATCATCAAAAGTGGACAGATCCATATGAAAGTCTCATGCCTGAATGTGGGTACAGGGATGAGATGGCACAAGCAAACCATTGCTTATTATTTATATACCACCTGTGTTTATGTATTTGTGGATTTAGTTTTAGGGGAAAAGTATGCTTTGTTTCTTTAATAAGTCCACACCCATTCTGAATTTTTTGCAACCAACTTAAGTAATCAAAAAGTTGACGGATTATCCAGGTAAAATATTGCAGTAACATGAAGTTTCCTCAAAGGATTGTCCCTTGCTAGGGATATGAGTGAGGATCTCGGTAACAGCGATTAACAAAAATAATGTAATATAGCAAGTAGTATAGCAAAATAGTTTATAACTGTGACAGCCTTGAATAATTCTAAGTCTGATTTCTCAACTTATCCCAGTACACTGTCATATAATTACTTTTCCTATTTGCTTTTTAGTGTTATCAAGCAGAACTAATTTTTCCCCGAAACTAACTTGCTAAGGCAATTGAAAAGATTTTCCCTCCACCCCTCAGTCATGACCAGTTTCCCCAGCAGCTGTAGTAGGCTTCTCGCTTGATCTTCCCCTCTGCCTGAACCATGCCACCAGACAGGAAGGGTAAATTTGACCTTTGGAAAATTAGGAGCCATTTAATACAGCATCTTTCACGTGCGGTTGTTTCAAAAGGCATTAAGGATGTGAGTAGCAAAGTGCCCACGAAAGTGATTCACACAACACAAAGGTAACTTTCTGTGGTTTTTTTATATTAAGGCATTCAGGATAATTTACTGCTTAAATCATGTAATTTACTTCTCTGTGAAAATGGGAGAAAGAGTACAGTGGGATAAAATCATCAATAAAGCTTTCAAATAATTATCTTTTGAAAATCTTAGTAAATAAAGTACAACTGACTCTCTTTTTCAGTTTATAACTTTGACTAATCCTGCTAAGATCCACTCATGAATATTTTTTTTTGGTCCTTTTGAGACAGTCTCCCTGTAGCCCCAGCTGGCCTGGAACTGGCTATGCAGACCAGGCTGGCCTTGAACTCACAAAGATCCACCCACCTCTGCTTCCCAAGTGCTGGGATTAAAGGCGTGTGCTGCCATGCTTATGTATGTGTGTCCAGTCTTATGTATACAAAATATTAGACTAATTGGGCCTTACAGGACTCATTTACCCTCAAATGGATCCCACAGTCCCAAACTGCTCTTACCATTGCAGTGGCAGCTGAGTGGTTCATCTGGTGATGAGCTGCCTTGAGTTTGGCTTGCAAGTGTGCAGGAGGATGAAAGTACTTGCATTTCTCCCGGGAGCATCGACCTTTAATGTAATCCATGCAGACTGTCACAGTATTATCACTCACTTCAATCATGGAAACATCTGTAGGGTGAGCGTAGCGGCAATCATTCTCCCCACGGGTACAATTTCCACGCTGAAATTCACGGCAAACCTTAAAAAAGGAAGAAACCAAAACACATATACATTTCACAATGATGACTGGAAGGTTACAGGCTTCCATTTCCTTTACTAAGAGAGTATGTATAAGAGTCACATATACATCTTATCACTTATTTAGTAAATATCTTAAAAAGTTGAAGGTTAAACAAAACCACATTCACCATAAGAGTAAAAAAAAAAAACCCCAATAATTCCAAGGAATAAATCCATTCTCCAAAATTAGAGAGTATCTGTTAGTTTGAATCCTCCAGTTAGCATAGAATCTCAAGAGTAATTATTCCTTTAAGGCCTGAGGTGAGTCTTTATTATATAACAATGCACTTATGGTTTTACATGGGCAACTTGAAAGCCACAATTGAATCACATGTGTAATCAGATTCTACTACAATATATGACCAGGCATTTGATCGGCTGGCAATGGAGCTAAGTTTCTAAGAAATCAAGCTATTTATTCCAGTGTACAAAGAATAACAATTAAAGGAAAACTAAAGAACTTCAATAAACCAAAGACTTTGAAATTTCCCTTGAAAATGTTTTAGGTATCTATTATGTGATACTTATTTTGTATATCATTTTTAATATGGAAAAAATTTAGACATAATGAAACTCATTTACAATCTGCATTCATATAGCTTTATATTCTATAATTGTAGAACCTTAGATTCAATTTTTCTCAGTTTACAATTCTACAAAGTAGATGCTTACTAGCAATCCAGTAATTCCATTCTATAAAGCTTGAGCCTATGTATAAATAACATTCTTATGCAGACTTCCTATGCCATATCATTATGTACCTACTGTACAACTAAGTTGATTCACTTCATAACGAGGTCTCATTGCAGTTATAAAACAGTTAACACTTTACCCTATGCTAAAAAATACTTGGGTATACTTATTTAAAACATCTAACAAATTAGGCTCTGAAAATGGTACTTTATGCATAAAGATAATATCTATGGTACAGGCATTTATATAGTTCTTCACAAATACCTCCAGTTTATCTGTGCGAATTGGTTTTGGGCCAGTAACTCCTGGCAATGCAAGAGGTGGATTTCCAGAATACAGAACTGGTGCATTTGGTAAAAGTTCAGCAGGAACCAGGCCCATCCCAGGATGATGAGGTACATAAGGACTGAAACCCATGGCAGGGTTAGCTGCAAGTGATGAATTCATAGGAAAAGATCCCTGTATGTTTGCAAGAGAGAAAAAAGTTGTTAGAAGTAAACAGATGGTTCCTACTATTATATAATTCTTGCAGGAATTACAGCATTTCCTAAGCAATACCACAATTTATCATTTCCTGATTGACTTTTTTGTCTTTTTAATAATTTGTATAGAGGACTTGCTTTTAGACCAACAAATATTTTAAGTAACAACTTTAGTTGTTATTTAAAGTAACTTTACTGGTAAGTCAATTTTCAAAAAAAGACACAATTGTAATTGTCTTGAATTAGTCAAATTGTATCTCAGTTTTTACACCTCCCCTTTTACATAAAAATCCATTACCAATGACAGTGCAAACAGACAGGCACACCCCCCCCACACACACACACAGAAAATTTCTCTTATTTCCTCATATAGTTATGCTTTTGAACATGGACTTAAAAGCCCCCTTCCTTTCTTCTCTCTCCTCTTCCCAGCTGTAATGCTTGGCTCTAAGGCTGCCTGTCCTACCATGTGTCCCTACTACAAAACAGTTAACCTTTCTTCTTTTCTTAGCCCACTGACATTTATGGAAAATGGCAAAGACTTGAAAAAGAAAAGGTGGGTGAGAAAAAGTGAGTGCTTTAACAACTTACTGTTTATCTAAAATGAAAATGGCCTGGTCATATCTGTTACCCTTTATTTTGCTACAGGTCCTGTTACACAAATGAATCTGACATGCCCAGCCTTGGGTTTTTTTGGCATTTTTAAAATTTAATTTTATTTAGAGGCTACATGATGCTCATAGTTCAAAAGGAGGGCCTAGAAATGCTAAAAAAGATTCCTGTTAAGGTAAGAAGAGATAAGATAACAGGATTATATGGTTCATAGTTTAGAGCATAACTTGCAAAGTCTTAGAAATGCAGAAGGTTATTACTCATTTGTCTATCTTTAAAAGTTCTGGATTCAAAGAGATTGGTTTGTGTATTGCCTTTAGCATCAGTAATCACACAATTTATCACTTTACTGTGCTGTTTTCCAGTTTGTTCCACATGTGAGCATCTTTTATTTCATTGTGGTTATCAGTTCACTGATAGTTCTCTTGACTCCCCTAGATTAACTTAAAACTTACTGAATGACTTGTAGATATAATTGATGATATACTTTAATGAATATTCACATATTAATTTTAATATGTCTAACAGTAGTTTAATAAGGCAATAACTGGTGGTATTTTACTGTGTGTTACTAAGTGTATGTTTTCTTCTTTACATTCTTATATCTTTCAGTGAAAAAAATTCACAAATGTGCTACATTACCAAGCTGTGCCCACAATTGTTAAATTGCATTAATAGAAACTCCTCTAAGTTCCGGGGGAAGAGGACTCTGTGGAGTCTGGAAGGGGTGATACAGAAGACTATACTTCAAATTCCCACCAGCACAGCATTCCTGAAGAAACCTCTGTTACAAGGCAAAGATGGCTGAGATGGAAGTGCTCCCCATTTAGCATTCCATCTTAGTTGAATTTGTCAAATTAGCTGATTGGTATGTTAGAAAGGATGAAAGAACTCACTCCTAAAGAACTGGAAACACTCACTAGGATGAGAGAAGGCACTTTAAGGGGAAAGGATCACACTAGGTGCCAGGAAGAAAGATGTAGTTGTCTGGGGAGGGGCTCTCATGTTTGAGCACACATAGCCTAGGGCTGACCAAGCCTAACTAAGTCTTCTGATGGAACAGTTCTCAGAAACCTGTCAAAGTTCTCAATATCTTCAGGAATTAGCAGACGTGACAAGTCAGATCTTAGTAATTCAATGATTCATGCTCATGTCAAAATCAGCAAGAATCTTTGAAGATAAAACTCCATGTTTGTAGCAGTCTATTTTATTTTCTCTCAGATGTTTATGGAACTTTCTCACTGAAGTGAACTCTTCCAACTCTCCTTAAATATATCTTGGTTTGCCTTTTCCAAAACTGGATAAAAATTATTACTACTTTTAATATATATTTATCTGAAACAGAATCTCTGAGGTGGGTTGCTTTTCCATACTCAAACACCATGAAACATAAACAACTTAATAATTTATTTAATTAATGTTCAATTTACATCCAAGTTTAATATATATGTAAGCCTTGCTTTCTTCTTATGATAGCTCTATCTTCTTTAATGTTTTTCCTTTATTTATCAAAGTGATTTGTCTGGGAAATTTTTTTGGTTTAACTTTTCTTTTCAAAAACATTTTAATCTACTTAGGTATGTTATATGTTCCAACTGTGTGAAAAAAAAGCTGTAATAATCAGCTTATATAAAAATGTAAAAGGATTGTGATTGTTGGAAATGTTTAGCTTTTAAAAAAGATTTCACCGCAAAGCATACTGGGCTGTTATTAGATGTTAAAATTAGCATGATAGCTTTTATGACCATTTCCTCTTTAGTATAAGTTTTATTCTATATCACTTTATTATGAAGAAAATTCTCCCATTTGCCACCCTGGGGCAGAGGCAGGAACTCTTGAGCTACCTATTTCTTTTCAGATAAACATTTCTGTTTTCTCACCACCACCTCTGCCCCAGGGTAACTACTCCATTTCATGAATTTGAACATTCAGAGGCTTAGCTTTGACTAACAGCTTACAGAGTCAGCTTTAATAAGCAATTTAATCCTGTTTCTATCTATATCACAGCTTTTCATGTCAATTGAACTAGCATGAAGCCATCCACGAGTTAATGCTAGTTTTAAAGAGGAAGATGGTGCGCACGTGTGTGTGTGTGTGTGTGTGTGTGTTGGGGATGCAACACAGGACCTTACCTATGATGATACACATTCTACCACTCAGCCACATCCTCCAGCCCTAAGGAAAATGTTCTTAATAGGCTGAATCTGATTTCTTTATACACCCTGCAGTAGTCTAGTCATTTAAACTGCTTCCTAAATTTAAAGCTGAAATTAAATTATTTACTGAATATTTGGAAATATGAGAAGAGTTTTTCTCCCAAAACCAGAACTTTGGATTTTCATCCTTCTGATTCTGGCAAAGCACTTAATATGGTGACGGCAACAAACTTTAAGGAATAAAATCATCACAGGACAATTTTTTGCTCAGTGTCTATAGCAGTATTTCCTACTAAGATAGGAATTTCTAAGAGTTCTGGGGGACTTGTTCAGAGCCTAGAAACTACTGGGCCCTCAGGAAATGCCTCCTAAAAATTAGTGAAAAATTCTTCAGAATAGTGGCTCTTAATCTTTTTTGTCTGGAACTTCTCTGAGAGTCAGATAAAAGCTTCAGACCCTGTCTAAAGAAAAAACTCATGTATGCACAAAATGTTGCCTGGAATCTTAGGAAGTTCAAGAGTGCTGTAACAACCGTCCCTGGTGCAGGGTTCTGTACTACATACTGGTTAAGAAGCTAAATCCTCCTCATAGGCTTGTCTAACCCATGGCCTCTAGGCCCCATGAAGCTGAAGATAGCCCCACATAAAAATCACAAACTTATTTTAAACAGGATCATATTTTTTTGTATGATCTTGAACTGCATTGCAGAGTTCTCAAATGTGAACCATGTACATAATAATGCACTGCCATAACATCAAAACTTTCGACATGCCTGCTAGAATAAGGACCCACAAACCAAGGATCCTAGGCCAATCTGGCCTGCCTCTGTTTTTACGTAGCTAGTAACCTCCTTTTTATATTTTTGATGTTTAAAAATATTAAAAGAATAATAAGCTTTAGCGACACAGGGGAAATTACTATAATTATATTCTTATTTTAATATCTAGCCAAAGATTTCATTGTGGTCTTTAGTAGACCTGTATTACAAAATATTATGAACATTTCTTTCCTCTCGAAAACAAGCACTGTTAAGCAATTGTTTATAGATTCTTCTCAGTGATTAACAATCGAGAGAGAATAGTTGGAATCCTATCAAGTTAAAATTTTAGGAGGACTCTCATATTGGTCTTAAAGGATGCAATAAAAACTATACCTCTTTCTCCAATTGCCTGTTGATGACCTTGCTTGATTTCCTATCTAGGCTATTGTAAATAGTGGAGTCAATAAGCCTGGAAGTGCAGGTGTCTGCTTGATGCAATGATTTGAGTAACTTCAGTCTAAAATAAAGTTATGATAATCCTGAGGTTCCCAACACAAGGGAACGGTAAGTGCCTGAAGAGATGAAAATGCTAATTGCACTGATTTCATCGTTTTACATCCTATACATTTATAAAAATTACTGCAGTGCACCTCATAAATATGTGGGTAAACGTTTCTGCTTAAAATTTTCAAAGAAAAAAGCAAAAATTATGCTTCAAGTAAATATATCTTTCTCACAAATATTTTAAGGACACTAACCTATTACCTAAAATGAAGTATTCATCAAGCTAGTATGAAAATTAAGTGTTATGCCAAATCCATCACTGGGTCTCCCTAACAAAAAAGACCTATGTATCTTTGCCTCAGTCATAGCCAAGATCAGCTACAATTATGGATGGATAAATACAAACTATTTTAGGTGACTTAAATGATATCCTGGCCTGAAGGCTACAGAATAATTGGGACCTTCCTTGTCTGAGCTTCCATCTAGAACAAGAGGACCAAGCATTTTCTTTTACATAAGGGTAAACATTTGGTATCAATTTGTTGACTCAATTTTAATACCAGATCACCAGCACTCTTAAATTTTACTAGCACTCATAATATTCTCCCTTTAATGCTCATTTGAGGGTATTTATATAATATAAAAAGAATTGAACTCTTTCTTATCATCACCAAGTGTATTTCTCTCGATTGATAATTCCAAAGAACATTGAAATGCACGGTTCTCATTTCTATGAGACTTTACTAACTGCTCACAAACAGTACAACGGAGTAACATGTGTTTCATAATTTTTACTTGGTTATCTCCATCAACTGCTGAATGATGCTCTGTAAGGACAAAAGGGGCCAAAAGATAGGCTGCAGAATGTCCGTATAAACCTCCAGAGTAGACTAGTTAATTGGTCCCTCAATAATTAAGAGCTAACTTTATAAACAAATGCAAACT